AAGCATGTTCTAGGCAGAGGCTTAAACACTTGCTCTTCTAAGTACATACCTGAAGGCCATGTTGAATCAGGGCTGTTGGAGACTCTACTGGGGGGGGAAGATCATCTGTTTAACTCTCTTAAATGGTCCCATAGTGTTGCTGTGTCCTGTTAAACAGCTGCTGCTTTTTACCTACACGCCTACCCGTGTGTGTGTCTCAGTGGTGCCTGCAATGGTGCGTTGCACATCTGTGCACAGCACATACATGTGTGGTCTGTGTGGTTTGGGGGTGCCCAATGGCCTGTAACTCTTCTGCCAGCTTGTAGTTGGGTGAAGGGTTTGCTGGGCTTGGGGGTTACAAAGCTGATGAAGAGGATGATGAGGGGAGGATGGAAGCTGGATGTGATGGTGAGGGCTGTCTGTGCAGGCTGTGAATGGGGCAGGAGCAGATGGGGGCTGAGGTGTAGCCTGACCTGTAAAAAGGAACATTGGAAAGCAGGTCAGAGCTGCAGTAGGAGGTGTGGAAAGTCACACAGGGGTGGTGTCATTGAGTAGATGTGACACAGTGCTGAGAGAGAGGCTCTCACCAGCTTTTTCGGGGGCTGGGGTTACCTTGGACCAGGGGTTTCCTGCCTTGCTTGTCCCTTTTCTGCTGGCTCTTTCTCACTTGCGTTCCTTGAGGTGAGCACCATCCCTTTGAGTGTAACCCAATACAGGTTGGGGGTAGATCTTCTGGGAAGCACCACTGAGGAGAAGGATCTGGGGGTCCTGGTGGCCAGTAAACTCTCCATGGGCCAGCAATGTGTCCTTGTGGCCAAGAGGCCAATGGGATCCTGGGCTGTGTAGGGAAGAGTGTGGCCAGGAGGTGGAGGGAGGTCATTGTCCCCCTCTGCTCTGCACTGGGGAGGCCACAACTGGAATCCTGCCTCCAGTTCTGGGCTCCCCAGTTCCAGAGAGACAGGGAACTGCTGGAGAGAGTCCAGCGTAGGGCACCAGAGATGATGGAGGGATTGGAGCATCTCCCTGCTGAGGAAAGGCTGAGAGAGCTGGGGCTCTTGAGCCTGGAGAAGAGAAGGCTGAGGGGAGACCTTCTTCATGCTTCCAAGTGTGTAAAGGGTGGGCTGAAGGAGGATGGAGCCGGACTCTTTCCAGTGGTTCCCAGTGACAGGATGAGGGGCAATGGGCACAAGCTGGAAGATGGGAAGTTCCACTGCAATGTGAGGAAGAACTTGTTTGGGGTGAGGGTGGCAGAGCCCTGGCAGAGGGTGCGCAGGGATGGTTTGGAGGCCCCTTCTCTGGAGATCTTCAAGCCCCTCCTGGATGCTCCTGAGTGCTGTGCTCTGGACAGCCCTGCTTTGGCAGGGGAGTTGGACTAGAGGTTCTCCAACTCTGACAATTCCATAATTCTTTGTTTAGCACTTGGCAGGGGAGTTGGACTGGATGATCTCCAACTCTGACAATTCCATGACTCTGTGTTTAGCATGTAGCACAAGGGCAGGGCACTGGAATCCCCAGCCACTGAGGTCGGTATCTATGGTTTACCATCACTGAGCTGCATGGATGGTCCCACTCTGCCTCACAGTGGTACTGTAAGTCCTTTGTGGGTGTCAGTGTCCTCCCTGTGATCATCTAAAAGGTCTCCAAAAGATGCAGGTGGCTTGGAGGCCAGCAGAGCTGTGTCGTGAAGGGCACATCAGTGTAGGGAACACCCCTGGTGTGGTACCACTACGGTCCTGCATCAGCTTTTCAGTGGGGATGTGTTGGGAGAGAAACACTGTGCTGGGCAGGAAACTGCTCCCTGAGTCCTCGAGGAGCCTCAATAAATACATAAAGGGCAGAGTGTCACCAGCCTGGCCACTGCAGGGACATGCTGTCACCAGCCACATCCTAATGGATGCTGCCAGCTTCTTTTCCCTCCCTCCTCTTGTCCCCTCTTGTCCCAATGCTGCCAGGGAGCCCTGGCCCAGCTGCTCCCCGAAGCCAGACGGCTGCTCTCCTCGCCTGCTGGCTCTCTGCTGTCACCTTCATGCATAAAACATCTCCCTGTTGACTGAGATCCCATCTCCTGGTGGCTTTGTCAAGGGAGCTGCAGGGGGGACATAAAAAGTCCCTTGTAAATCTCTGGTCTCTCATCCCTGAGAACTTTACTGTTCCTCAGAGAGCGGCTCTGCTGCTGTCCCTGCTCTTGCAGGGGATGACATTTAGCTGAGGCAGGACGGGATTAGCCAACGCTCTACCTGCTGCTAGCCCTCAGTGACCACCATCCTCAGGCTGTGCCCGGTGTGGATGGCACGATCACTTCTCCTGCCCCTGGTGTCTCCTCTGTAGTAGAAACCCCAGAGGGTTATCTTTGGTCCCTGCCAGGATGGATGCTCTGAGCAAGGGAGGCAAGAGCATCCCTGTGTCAGTCCCGAGGGGACCCGGGTGGCAGTGACTGCAGTGAGATGGGAGAGAACAGCTCATGGAGGGCCCTCTGTGTGCTCTCGACCCAGCCTCAGCTCAGAGGTTTTTTTTCTTTGCTCCTTTCTTAAATGACAGTGACACTCAGCAGCTGGCTTTGGGGCCTCGCATGAAGATACAGAGGTGAGGGACGCTCAGGGTCGGTGCGAAAGAGGCTGATCTTTCAACTGAAAGGGGAAAAAGGGTGGGAGTGCAAGCCTCAGTTAGGAAAACGTGCCATTTCTGTGGCAGAGGGAGGACTGTAACCCCCTGCAGTTGAACAGGTCGCTCATTATCCTCATCATTTGCCTGTGCTTGATGAGGAGTCACAGCCTCGTTCAGAGATGAGACTTTGTTCGCCGGTGCCGTTTGCTCTCTCGGTTCCTCGGTAGGTAAATGGGGTTATGCAGGTTTAAAAGAGAGATGGCTCTAGTTTGGATGAATGGAGGATGTTTCTGGGGGAAGCTGTGCCCCATCTCATGGGGTCACTCTGCACCGGTAGCTCTAGGGCAGGTGAGAAGTCTCCCTGCCACCCCCAACTCATTGCCATGGAGTTCAGATCATCGTTTCTGCCTGGCAGCTGATGAAGGGGCTTTGGGTCGGGAAGCTGAGCCCATCCCAAAGCAGGGATGGGTCCCTACGCCATGGTGGCCGTTTGAGAGTGGTACCTTGGGGTGGACAGCTGGCTCAGAAATAGCTCCATCATCCCAGTGGGACTTGGGCTGATGCCAGTGAAACCGGAGTGTGGTGTCTGCCGGCTGGACTGGGCTCCGTGTGTTCATGGGGAAAGAAGAGATGGTGCCAGGTGACGTGTTTTGGGGACCGAGGGAGAGAAGAGGACAGGGTTAGTGGGCAGCCCAGGATGTTGAAGCCCTCTGCGGTTGTTGTGATGGGGGCTGTTGGTTTCGCAGTCCTTGTTTAAGCTCTCCAGGCACGTGATGACCTTGGGAGCATGTGACAAATTTGCAGCCAAATAGCTCTATGTGATGGAGATGCTGAACTGGGAATTGGCGAGCTGGGTTCTCTCTGGCTCTGGCAGGGAGGGACAGGAGCGTTGCCAGGTCAGACCTGGGATCCAGCCAGCCCAGTATTACTGATTATATTACTCTTTACCAAAAAGCTGCCGGTATTAGTTCTTCTCGGTCACGAGCTTTGCTCGGCAGCTTCTGTGCTCAGTGGGGAGAGGAGACCTTGCAGGAGCAGCTCATCAAAAGGACGTATATATGGAAAAAACACCCCAAAGCACTTCCTTTCCGAGAGCAGACCCAGAACGTTGATGTTCCTGAGTCCTCAGAGGGGATCAGCTTGTCCTCAGGGAGAATTCCTATATGTTAATTTAAGTTTAGTATAAAGCCTATGACAGATTCTCACGGTGGAAGCTGGAGAAGCAGAGGAGCAATTGCAGATCATCTTATCTGGGTCCCAAGGTCATCTCTGTGCACACTGTTTTAAATATAAGTATATATTTAATAATTATTGTACTCATTAATTGACTGGGGAAGGCAGCTGGTAATGAGATGGCAAGAGAAGCTGAATTTCTGGGAGCGTTGTCAATGTCCCCTGAAGGCATCAGGAGCTTTGTGGCCAAGCTGTGGGGACCAGCAGCACTGCTCTCCACCAGCATTCATCCCTCTCCTGCTCTCACTCCTCTCCAAAGCTGCAGAAACTGCTCAGTCTCGTGTTCTGTCCATAGTGGGGTTCCTCCTGGCACGTCGCTACCCACCTTGTCCCCCGTATTCTCCTTCACTCTGCTCTTTCCCTGGCTGACGGGGAGAGCGTTTTCTCTGTTGGCAGCAGCAGCTCTGCCATAACACTGTTGCTGTTCGGGGGAAAAGAGAATAACTCCAGCTTTCATTAGCTTTTTACGTGGCTCAGTCATTCAGTTGGTGGTTGTAGAGTAGCTTGAGCTCTTTCAACACCAAGGAAGCGCAAAATCATGTCACCCCGGAGTCCTATGGCAGATTTTTGCCTATGGCAAAAAAGACATTGAGGGGCTAGAGCGGGTCCAGAGAAGGGCAATGGAGTTGGTGAGGGGTCTGGAGAGTAAGTCTGATGAGGAGAGGCTGAGGGAGCTGGGGGTGTTCAGTCTGAAGAAGAGGAGGCTGAGGGGAGACCTTATTGCGCTCTGTAACTACCTGAAGGGAGGGTGTAGAGAAGCGGGGGTGGGTCTCGTCTCCCAAGTCACAGGAGATAGGACAAGGGGAAATGGCCTCAAGTTGCACCAGGGGAGGTTTAGATTGGATCTTATGAAAAATTTCTTCACGGAAAGGGTTATCCAGCGTTGGAATGGGCTGCCCAGGGAAGGGGTTGAGGCACCATCCCTGGAGGTGTTCAAAAGACGGGTTGACATGGTCCTCAGGAATATGGTTTAGTGATTTTTTTAATTGCTTATTTCTTATTTTGTCAGAGCTAGGTTGATGGTTGGACTAAATGATCTTTAAGGTCCCTTCCAACCTAGACACTTGTATGATTGTCCTTCTCTCTCCATGGGCATTAACCCCCCTTCCAACCTAGACGATTCTATGATTGTCCTTCTCCCTCCATGGGCATTAACCCCTTCCTCTCCTCTCCTTGTCTTCCAGGTACTGAAAGGCTGCAAGAAGCTGAACCTGTCTGTGCATTCGGTGGGGCGCATCCCGGGGGGGTATGTCACCAACCACATCTACACCTGGGTGGACCCTCAGGGCCGCAGTGTGTCCCCTCCGACGGGCCTGCCACACCACCAGAACAGCTCCCTCCGCAAGGACAGCGAGAAGAGGAGCCACCTCCAGCTCCTGCAAGAGGGAGATGAGAAAAAGGTGAGCAAGGGGGGCAGCCACAGCCCCAGGGGGCCTGTCTTTGGTCACCCTCTTTGTTCCTTGTATGATCTTCATTTGTGTGATTCTGGCTTGTGTTGGGATGACCCATCTCTCCTATAGGATACACTAGATCCTGGTTTTCCTAGGTCTGTAGCTTTCCCTCTGTCGTTGGGAGGTTGAGGTAGGTGTTATGTGCAGGAGGGCTCGTGGATTTGGAGGGTCAGATCTCAAGAGTCTGTTACTGCCCTTCCTTCTGCCTTTCAGATCTTTCCTCGGTTGTTTTTGTGAGGTTTTCTTGGGTCTCTGAGCAGTTTTGTTTAAGTAAAAAATCGATTTTTCTTTCCCAAAACACTATAAAATAAAACGGATGGAGCAGGGAAAGGAGTAAAATAGTTTTTATAACGGTACCCAGGGGAGCTGGGGGTGGCCAGTGCTGGCCACTCCAGGAGGACCTGGATCTTGGGCCTTTAACAGAAAGGAAAGCATATCAGCACATCTAATTTAGTTCCTCCTTTCTTACTTTTTGCCTGCTTCTATTATTATAAGTGAAGCCAGCAGACGATATGTTCAAGCTGCAGTATCTGATCTCAGGAATTTACTGTTTCTTCTCCCTCATGCTTCCTGTGCCCAAACAGCCTGAGAGACTTGTAGATGGAGAGGAAGGGTGCTCAGACACCCTTGCATCTCAGCAGACTCTGCTCGCTCTCTCAGTGGTGATGGATCAGGAACCTCTTTGTCTTGTACAAGCAGGACATGGTGTTGCGTCACCAGCATCCATGGGCTGTCATGTGGGTGAGCGAGGTGCTTGCTTCCCAGAGGCACAAAATTGCTTGGAGCCTTGATGTATTTCCACCCTGTTACCCTGAGACCACTCTGGCTGTCCCCAGTGTTTTCATTATATGCCCCAAAATGTCCTCAGCTCTGCCTGGAAAGGCTGTGGAGGGATCTGTAAGCTCCAGCCTCCCACCTCAGCCAGAGAGGGGAAAAAAATCTAATAGAGGATGAGGCGGTTTGCTGATGAAATATTCATGTGGGCCACGAGGGAGAAGAGCCCATTATTTTTACTTTAAGGAGAAGAGAAAAGCAGCTGCTGCTGCCTTGCTGTTGTCCCCCACCCCCTACCACCCAGTGTCACCTTGATGGAGCAGGCAGCCACGCTTTGAAGCTGGAGGTAGGAGGTGTCTCTCTGCACGTCATTCCATTACTCCTTGCTGTGTGTCGACATGAAATGCTGAGAAGCCTGTGGCTGTACGTGTCCCTGCCCAGTGCCTGAGCCTCGCGTGGCCCCGGACAGCCCCTTCCCGTCTGTCCCTGGGGAGATGCAATTACAGGTGTCCTAGTTGTCTCTGAGCTCCTCAGCTGCTGCATGGAGCCATCATCACACCAAAGCACCTTTCTCTCTGCTGCTCCTGGTCCTGAGCTCGTCAGGGCTGGCTCCCTGACGGGGAAAATGAATCCAACTCAACTTTGCAAGTTAAAAAGAGCTTTAATTACCATGGCTTAATCTGCTTTGGAAGGGAATGAAGCCAAGTTGAATGAAGGCCGCGTTAAACTTCAAAGAGCATCCATCCGTGCTGGTCTTAGCTGCTGTTGGATACACTCACTGCCAAGGTGTGAGGGGTCCCAGCTCCAAGTCCCCCTCTGTGACACCGTTCCAGCTGAGCTGGGCTGCAGGACCTTGGCTCACAGCAGTGGCTACCTTTGTTCTGAGCCGTGCTTCTCTGCTGCTGTGGCTCTGATGGCACTGATGCCTCTTTGCATCAGTGCTGCACTTGCAGGGCACTGGGAAGATGTGCCAGCCTTGGGTGGGATGCCCAGTCTTCATGGTGCTACCAGCTTGTGGCTTGCTGGCTCCAGGACCTTTTAACCTGGTGTGATGAGTGGTGAAGAAGCTCTCACTCTGCCTGGCTCTTCCAAAATCTGAGCTTGTTCTTCCATTCCTTGGTGCTGCGTCACACCTTTGACTTCTTGTAGTGGAGGATCGTGCTTTGACCCTGGGGCCGGGGGGTGAAGACCCCTCTGTTAACCTGGGAAGAGTTAGTGACAGTTGCAGGAAAAATATTTGAAGCTCACAAAAATGGGCGTGTGAAGATGTGATGCAGAAGGCAGCGTTGGCATCAGGAGAACAGGCAATACTCAACCTTATCCTGGCACTACTCCTCTCTGACGTGTCAGTGGTGACATTGGTCACTCTGCTGGTCCCATCCTGCCACGCTGGCCCTGCACTGCATGTCTAGCAATCTGTCAGCTGTGTGTTGTCCCAGTGCTGGGATCCCCACACAGCTCTGCTCGTGGCCCTTGGCTTCCTCTGCTACCCCAGACTTCTTGTGTCATTCCTGTGTGCCTCCTGCCCTGCTCTAGCGCAGCTCTCAGTGCTGCCTGGAGACCTTCTCCTTGTCCTTTTAATGGTCCTCCATCCTTGCTGGCCACAAGGATGATACACCTTTCTCCCTAGCCTGCTGGCCCAGTGGCTCAGAAGGGTAGCCATTAGCACTGGTGGGACCTGAGGTTGCTCAGAAGAGCACCCCGACCCCTCCAGTCCTTGCAGTGCCCTGAGCCTGCCTCCAAACCCAACTCCTCCTCATTGGTGTTGATGTGCAAGGCATGGTGTGGATGCAATAACCTCCACTCCTGAATTCCCATCTGTAAGACCGAAAAAAGGAAAATCAGTGGATGTGACAACTTCTAAATGACCAAGGCCACCCAGATGCTTCTGTATCCGGAGGTGCCTTGCTTTTGCCAGGTGATGGTGAAAGAGGAGCCCCAGGGTGAGGAAGGGCTGGCTGGCAGTCAGGAGAGCCTGAGCTGGGCGGCAGCTTTGGGAGGGGTTATTTGGTGTTACTGCCCGTGTCATTTGTCTGAACACGTGCTTCGGGGCATGGATTAGCTGAGTGGCTGTGTCCTGACTTACCCGGCACCATCCAGAGATGAAAACACATCCCAGAACACAGGAACAGCCTGCCTCTAGTTTTTTTTCTTTTTTTTTTTTTTTTAATTTGTCTGCATAGATATATTTATATATTTAACTGTTGAAAGTGAGGTTATTCTCTTCACAAATATCATGCAAATAAATGCAACGTATCCCTGGTTAATTCAGCCCAGTCAACCGGAATTGACGGGTGCTCCCCAGGGCTATTTGATTTCTGGATGGTTTTACATTCCGAGGGAAGGGCTGGGGATTAGTTGGTTATTTCCCTCCCCCCCGCTGCCCCCAGCCCTCTCTCTCCTATTTCTAATCGATCTGGATGTCCTGGAATACATATGCAAAAGCTTTCAAACAGGCACTGCTTGGGAAAGAAGTTTGTTAATGCCTTGCTGCAGCTCATAAACCTACAAGGCTACTGGAGTTAAGGTGGTATTTCCAGCTTTTGCAAGGTTAAATTGAAGGTTGGTGGAGGCATCCTACATCCATCAGGCAACAGAGAGATCCCTCTCTGGCTCCGGGCACATCTCTTCTGATGCCTGAAAGGATGGGGTTTGTAGTTTAACAGGTTTGCTTATCTGTAGGCAGAAGCATTCGTTATCAAAAGGCTTGAAATGGAAACCGCCGCTCTTGGCGTGTGTGTGTGTGATAGTGTAAGCGATCCGTCTGGCGGAGGAGGGATCTGGCACGGGTGCTGTGGTGGTGGGATGGAGGTGTGGAGCAGACGGGTTGGACTGGGGTGCAGCCAGGGTGGTGGGGCTTTGGGCTGACGGGTCACTCTGGGCTCCTTGGGTGGCTTTGCTGCAGCAGGAGGCAGCTGGCGTTGCAGGCCTCGGGCTGGCCCATTCCTTGCCCTTGGCTTTCTGTCATGTTTTTGTGTGGACACTGGGATTCCTCTGCTGTCAGCTGTGGAAGAAGCCATTATGGGGCTTTGGGAAGTTACTGGTGGATTGTCAGCTGTCTGCTGGCTTTGCTTTGATTATTCTGTTCCAGTTAGTGGTTCTGGGCCAAAATCCAGCTTGCAGCACGCTTAGGCCAGAGGCTGTTCTGTGCGGATGAGCAGGAAGTGAAGGACAAGGTCTGGAGCAGTTATTCTGTGTAGACCTGACCTAACACGAATGTTATCTCACGAGAGGGGATGTGAGAATTAAAGGGAATGGAAGATGGAGGAGGTGCTGGCACGTACAGACCTGTGGTTGTGCAAATTATTGCAAATCTTTACACTTCCCATATCTGTGTTGTCTCTGGCAGGTTCAAGAGGTGGCCTTATTTCCCAAGTCTGCTATTATGAGTTTCCTGCAGTAAGGGCAGCCTTCCCTTTAGTTGTCATCAGTGAATCCAGTGTTTCTCCAGAGCCCTGTGCCTGTCTTCCCTGTAGGTGAAGTAGCCAGTGATGGTGGTCAGTAATAAGCGTGAAACGAAGGGCTTGCACTAGTGCAAAGCTCTGGTGAAACGTTCTTGGAGCCATCTGTCTCCAGGACAGACACAGCAGCAGGTCACAGTCCCCCAGCCCCATCCCAACAGAGGAGGTAGCCTTCTTGCTGGGCAGATGGGACCTGCTTCCAGCACTCACCTTCTGCTTCCCACCTGTTTGATTTTTATGGTCAGGCTTAAGTTCTGTAGACTTGTTTTCACCACATCAAGGACCATTTGTGGTGTGAGTTGTCGCTGATGTACTTCTGGGATTAACACCTTATTTCATTAAAAGTGTTTTGGAAACTGCCAGCCAGCAAAAACTGCCAGGTTCTCTTGAGCTGGGAAGAAGATGAATTGTGCAAAATGCTCTGCAAATGTCGGACTGGTAATTCCCCAAGAAACGCCATTTCATCAGCTGAATCCTTGCTCTGATGTGCTTATTGCCAGGGGAGCTGCTTATTCCTTTAAGCTTTTGGAAGAAAGAAAATATACGTCAAGAAGAGAGTGCTGACTTGCCTTCAGGCAGTTCTGTATTCAAAAGTAGTTAGAATTATTATAATAAAATACAAAAAGAAAAAAAAATACATCTGTGATAACATTGGCTTGAATGTTTGCAACGCTAATGGTGACTACTTGAGCATGAAGGATAAAAGATGCAGGA